TCATTTAACTTTTATTGTCCTGTATTTTTATATTTTGATTGTAAAAATAATTTGTTGCTACTATAAAAAGTGACATAATGAGAATTATTGTTGTAGCTCAGTGATAAAACACTTCTGTAACACTTGTGCGGACTTAGTATTGATCACCAGCACCACCAAAATCAAATAAGTACATGGCATAATACACATCTACTGAAATTAATTTGAAATGATATTTAGTCCTTTTAGTAAATATGGTAATATTTATTTATCTTTTTATATCATAATTCACTGCTCAGTAAGTAAATACAATTGTATTTATTTAATGCATTATCATTCACTGATGTTAGAAAAATATATATATATAGTTATATTTCATCAAGTGACTTAAGATATGCATAATATTAAATACGAAATGTCTGGAACCCTGTGCAGTTTGAACAAGAGTAAAGAAATTCTCTACGTGTGACATAGGTATATACCATACATATATTTTTAGTGTAGGAAAAATGGTAAAGAAAAACACATTTTAACAATGGAACAAAGAAGGGCCTGGGGAGATAGCTCAGTAGAATAAGCCCTTGCCTGGCAAGCAACAGGTCCTAAGTTCAATCCTTCATACCACAAATAAATAAATAAAAACAAATAAATAAAAATAATGGAACAAGGAAGCAGCACAATGTGGATTAATATTTGCTTTAAATATAAATAATTAATAAAAGTAAGGGGGAAAGAGTGACATCTAAACCTTTGTGTCTAATTTTTTTCTTTCATTTTATTTTGAGCTTGTGAATATAATGTATTTTAAGTCAATTTAAACAAACAAAAATCTTACTCATTTGGTGAAAGAACAATTATGAAGTACAAAAATTAGTTAATATTTTCTCCTTGTTTTTATACTCATTATCTGTTGAGGACAAAACTATTTTGATTAAGTTTCTGACTCCTCTTATGAATTTGGTCATGAAGAATGTAATATCTTGCAACTCCAGTAGATAGATAAGTCTCAGACAGGAGAATTGCCACAAGTTCAATGCCAGCCTGGCTTCATTATGAGCTGCAGACAATCCTTATCTGCGTAGTGAGACCTTGTCAAATAAATAAATAAGTACACTAATATTCGATAACTTCAACGGAAACTTTTCCTTAAATTTCCTTTTTTTGAAATCAACACGATGAACATTTATTATATTCTAGTCCAATAGTATCAAAGCAAAACTTACTGTTTATATGAATTAGTAAATAATATGTGTAAATACTTCTGTACTCATTTCGAGTTTTTAATCAAGTACATATGCAAATGTTGATTAGGCTTTGTAGCCTAATGGACATCCTATGGAATGGAGACAACTCAACTATATATTTAAAAAGAGCCAATCACATATGGATACTTAGCTTGTTATAACTAGTGATTTTGACTTTTGTTTAAAATAAAATTAAATAATCAACTAATTTCTTTATGTCTTGATTTTGTACTTTGTAAGTTTTTTTAAGTACTAGTTTGTATTGACTGCTTTTAGAAATGAGAAATTGTAAACAGTTAACTACAGTCAAAATTAATGCAAACTGAGTGTGTTAGATAACACTGTAGCATAGCCCTTTTTTAAGCACAATGCAAACAATATCAAAAAAGGGAAGAAAAATACAAATGTTATGTTTTTGGTGTCTGATATGACCTGAGAAAATAATAATCACTACTAAAATCCTGATAAGAGTCTATTCCTCATAAGTGCAAGTATTTTATTGCATATAGACTCTACATGATACAAAAATACCAGTTCTTTATGATATAAAAAAGTATATGTAAGCTTGCAAAATTTTTAAGTTGTTACAAAGCAAGATATCTGGTTTCATATCAAAGGGAGATTCTTAGAATTGATGAAAAATTCTAGATTTGAAATATCCTTAAGAAACATAAATTTGCTTTGAAAATATGGTTTATGAATTTTTCCCAATTTAAATGTATCTAATATGTACAATTGAAAGGCCTGTGTGTTAATGAATTTATGGAAATTTAAAAAGAAAAAATGAATTTACATTGCATATAGACTGAAAACATTAATATGGGATGTTAGAATACTCATTTACTTTAGAATTAACCTGATCTATTTATTGTCTGGATAAGGGACTGAGACAGCTTATGTGGCTTCCTTATGGTCACAGGCTTGAAAGAAAAGTAATTATAATGAAAAAGGATTGTAAATTTCAAGGTTAGCCAATCTCTGATGGGTGAAGTATCTACCTATGAATTTGTTTAGTGATAAATATTTAGAACACCAGCTTTTTTTTTTTGATGATTTTAGAGTAAGGCTTGTCATGCTTAGCCTGGAAAAATACGGTTGAATTAATGGGTGTTGATTAATCTGAATTGTACAACTGTGACTTAAGTAGGTACTCAATGATAATTCTGTTGCTCTTCTTCTGGGAAACATTTGAGGGGAACAGGGTGGAGAAACGCTTACAAGGCTCCAAAGTTATGTAAAATAGTTGCATCAACTGTTGATGAAAGAGAAATCAATGTTTAATCCATGCTGTTCTGTGGTCCCAAGCAGCCAGAAGGGGAAGCAATGATCTGAAGGTCTGCCAGAGCTTTCCTATTTACTGGTCAGCACCAACCACTCACATTTTCCCATGCAAGCCCCCTCACTAAAAGAGAAGCTCACCAGCAAGTGATGATCACTTGGGAGCTACAAACTGAAAGTCTTTGTCAAACTATTAAAATTACACATTTCAGATGCAATGAAATGTGAAATACATTATTTTTACTGAATCAAATGGAGTATGTGTAAGATTTATGTTAGAATAATGAATATCTATACAAAATACAGTCCCCTTTAAAATAACTTACTACAACTCAATTGGAGATTCAGAACAAATGTAGTAATCTGTAAAAAAAATGTTTTCTATATTCTAAAATATTAGGTGGCAAAGATTCTAAGCATCTTGGCATCTGATCTATTCTATAAAACCAACCCCCAAATTTATCTCTAATGATAATGAGGATTGAATCCCAGAAATGTCTTTGAACTGAAGTAATCCCAAACCATTATTTTATTATTATTATTATTATTATTATTATTATTATTATTATTATTACTACTATTATTATTTTAAGAGGATGGCACTAAATCACCCTGGCTGAGCTTGTATTCCATCATGAACTTTCTCTCAGCTTTCCATGGTCCTGGGATTGCAGACATATTCCTCTATATAGCTCCTCCTGAGACTTCTATAAGATTATTTTTCAAAATAATTCAGGAATATTTTGTCAAAGTGCTATGGAAAAACATAGTAGGCATATTATTATATTACTTTGCACTCAAAAGGCAGAACAGATTTTTCATTGTAACTTAAAACATAAAAATTGAGATTTTTAATTCTTAGAGATCATATCACCAAGACTTTATGGACAAGAAGATTGTAATGAACACTATATAAAATTTTCAGCTATGAGTATGACAGAATAAGGACTGGAGCCCTTGATCCTCCATTTGAAAATATTCCTACTTGCAAATACTTAAATGTAGGAAAATTTAGGTTAAAGTGTGTGAAACAGGAAATAGAGGGGAAGTGAGAGGAGCATGGAAGGGAAATGAAAAAACGAGGAGAAAAGGATAAAATGGAAACAAAATTTTGTAAACAAGGAGGGGAAATGGGTGGAAGAGAGAGGAGGAAAGTGGGGAAAAAAGAAGAATCAAGGCATATCACATATAGATATAAGTGGCCTATGGTAAATGTGATCATTATGTCTATTTAAATTGTACTAATAAATTTAAATGGAATTATTCATTTTTATTGTAATTTTCTAATGTGTTGTAAATTTTTACCATTTTAATGAAAATAACAATAGTACTTCTTCAGGATAAGAAAAGGTAAAGCACTGAATTTTGACGAAAATGTTTTTTTTTCCCTATAATTATAAGGTAAAGAGAACTAGGTACAGAAAGTCAAATGGCAGTAAACTCAAAATTAAGTTAGTATTTGAAGAAGTCCATCCTTTGTAATAGTAGTAATTATTATGTTAGTTTAGAGACAGCATGTCAGATCATGCTCTTTATATCTGAATTTGTAAAGGCAGGAACCAAATTTATTGTGATTAATTACTAAGATACACGTCAAGTTTTTTCCTAACATCAATGGGAATAATTCAATACCAGTGCTGACCTGAATGCTATTATAAAGAGATTTAATTATGATCATACTTCTAAATGCCTGCCTGCTCATGTTTTTTAGGATATGCAAAAATAAATCCATTAAGAAACTTAATGGTAGGAATATTCCATTGTCATATTCATTTTAATATCATGAAAGTGCATTGGGTGTAATTTATACTTCACTTTGAAATTTTATCTTTGTTACATAAGTTAGTGTCTTGTTTATTGCAAACAGTGCATTTCAGTAACAGTCACAACATGTTGAAAATGTGCAGCATATTCAATTTTTGCAGTGTAATTAGTTGGAAATTGGGGAAGCTTAATTTTAAAATTGAATTGTTTGTGAAAATCTATTCTCAGACCTTCCATAGATAGCTTAAGCAGTTTCTCTTCATAAAATGTTTTATAGTTGTTTGAAGAAATTAAGTGTAGTTAATCAGAAAAAACATTATAGTTTGACACCTAATTTGAAAGCCCTGTCTTGAAGCAGTGAGTGATTATTTATGGCATCCCTTTTACCAATAAGAAACCAAATAGGAAATCCATTTATGCCCAAAGTAGATCTCAGCATTGATTAAGCCAGGGTGATATTGTTTTTATGTACGACATATTTCATAAAAGTATATATGTTTGCAGAAATATATGTAGTTCACTGTTTACTCAAATAGATTAAGATAGTACAATAATATCACAATGGATACTTCTAACTACTATACATAAGAGACCAAATTAGTGACACTAAATAGACTTTGCTATTAAACTCAAAAGGACTATCAAGTTATTCAACTTAGCACAATATAAGTGGTAGAAATAAGCTCTAACATGGTGTTGCTGAAAGCATGTTCATCTCTGTTTATTGTTCCTCAGTGCCGCCAGCAATCGCCATGCCTCAGAAGTCCTTCAATGCCACAGCTGAGCGAGGAGAAGAGATGACTCTGTCCTGCAGGGCCTCGGGCTCTCCAGAGCCCGCCGTCTCCTGGTTCAGGTAAACTCAACGCTGCACCATCCCGCTGCCTTTTGCCTGTAATTAGGAATAGCACTTTCCATCTTAATCATTTTGTCAAGAAGCAAACTGTGCTGTTTAGATTCATGGAAGAAAAACTGTGCTCTTCTTTTCAGGTTAAGTTGGTTGCTTTAAAGAGCTAAAGAGATCCACAGTGTAATTTTGTTCTAATTTTCTTAGTGGAAAGGTAGATTAATAGTCGTTATTTTGTTTATATATAGATGTGTCCAGTCAAAATGGAGCCAAGATCCCTGTTTCCGTTTCAGTGATTTTATTGCTGCTGTTATAGTGCATCTTCCCATAGAAATCTTAGTGTTCCCCTTATTATTGCTGTGAATGTGTGGACTCATTTTATTAGAGTACAGTTAACTATACCATCTATTCATGTACTAAATTACTGAAAAACCTACTTAGGTAGGTGTAAAATGTCATATATTTAACTTGTCATTTTTCAAAAGTTCACTTTACCAAATGAGTAGACTTTGTGTTCTACAACTATCTTGTGAAGGTAAACTTCCATTTATCTCTGTTTTCAATTTTAAAAACCTCTTTGCATCATACTAACATAAATGTGTATTAAAACAGTTCTTTTATGTTTTTCCTCAAACAACTAAATGGGTGGTAATAAAATTTAAAACTGGACAGTCTTGTACATATGTTTTAGTAATGCAAGTGATACAAATATTTTACCATCAATTATATACAGATCTTCCTGGTTTAACTACCAAGATCCATTCTTGCAATGAGGTCATTAGGTGAATTGGTTGTTTGATGAGGAATTGTATATAGTATGTGTATTAAAGTATTCAGAACAAAGAAATGATCAAAGGAAACTCCAACTTAATGACTTTGCTTTCATTTGTGTGATTTTTCCCTGGAGCACTATAATATATAACATAAAATAAAATTGTAGTACTGTATTATACTGAATAGTTAACAAAAATTACATACCGTATGGACAGAGAATACTACTGTTCTGTATAGAAAATACGCTGATGCTCTATGTCAAGATGTACACAAGAATACCAAAAAAAGACAAGTCATAAGTTTCAAGTCTGAGCAGTGCGCCTTTATTGTAAGTCTGAACAGTTCCTAAAGAGGGCCATCCAAATAGCTCAGCGGATTAAAGCACCTTTAAGCAGGTGCAGGGGTTGGGGGTTTGATCCCTGGGTCTGTTGTGCTGGCCTCACCCCCTGGGACACCCTGAGAGGGCAACTGAGACTGTGCATGGTGGCGCGTGCCTGTAATCCCAACGCTTGGGAGGCTGTAAATAGGCAGATCAGCACTATGAGTCTGATCTAGTAGTGAGACCCTGACACCCTGGAGACCCTTCCCTAAAATACAAAGCAAACACAAACAAACAACAGTCCTTCAATAGATAGGTTGATAAATCATGAATATCTGTACTTTAAAAATCATAAATGCAAGAAAATCAGTGCAGAACTATTAGTAAAATGCATATCAAATGCACCAAGGTGATTGTAATAAGGCTTAGGCTTTTAAAATATTTTAAGAACAATAAAAATCAGTTATTTTCCATTACTATCTGAGCATCTACTGATATCTTTGATTTTCAAATATTTGTACCCATTTATATATCAGGTAGCAATAAACAAGATGTATCTCCAACCAGTGCGCTTGTAATTGTTCCTTCCAAGCATCAATTTGTTGTTTTGATATTTTTAATGAGATTACATATCAACACTAACTTAAAGACGCCCAACAATCATCATAAATCTCAAGGACCCCTGGTTTGCTAGGGTGGAACCTTAAGAATCATATATTCAATATAATCATGCTACAGAAAGGTCCTTGATTCAAACCTTATATTGAACAAATTTTGTCTAGAATGTTATTCTAATAATTTCGTATTTCCAGAGTGATTTATTTTCTGCTTAGATTATTTTCATATTTTACATTTGACCAAAATTATTTTGTCATATATAAATGGAAATCTAATTATAAGGACTGGAATAAATTTAATTACAGGATAATAAAGAGTAACTTACGTATCATTTTCCATCTCTTCAGATGTCATCACTTTCATTCTTTGCTTCTGTGGAATAATTCATCTAAATTCTAAAGAGTTATGTTATAGATATTAAATATATAGAGATTGGAACTGAGTGTTTTAGATATATACCCAAAAAGGGTCAGGTTTGGGTCTAACTTGCTTTATTGTTACGGCTTGGCAGTACACACTTGCCCCTTTCCCTTGAGGAGCTGGCACATGTACACAGCATTTCTTGCTTCTTTTTCATCCGCCCCATCACTCCTTCCTCTCCCCCTTTCCTTCATCTTTTGGTGCCCTTCACTTTGCAAAAGATGAAAAAGTAGGCAGATAGATCTTTTCATCGTGTTAGTTTAAAAAGGAACTTTTTATTTTATCCTCCCTTTATAGGCAGTCCCTGTTTGTGGAAGAAGACAAAATGCCTATAAGCATTAGAATGTAGGTCAGTAAACCTAAGAAATGATCCAGCGTCTGTTGCCCAGCAATATTGCCATGTAATGTTGATGAGCTCATTGTTTCAATGACTGTAGTTTGTCATAACCAAATGTCACAGAGTGGGAGGCTTGAACAAGAGAAGTGTATCTTCTCACAATTCTGGAGGTTGGCCATCCTACACCAAGGTGCCAAGAGAGTCTCTTCTGGGTGCATAGAAGCCTCTCTTCTCACTCTGTCCTCACTTGGCCTTTCTATTGTGTGCCAACATAGAGAAAGAACTTTCTTCCGTGTTTCTCTGTCCCTTAAGGACACCAGACCCATCAGAGGACGGTCTCATCAGTTGCACTTCATTAAACCTAAGTGAATTCCCTCCTTAAAGGTCCTGTCTTCAAAAGTAGTATTCCTCATGTTAGAGATTCAAAGTTGGAATTTGACCAATTTAGAATGTAATCCCTGTTAAGAAGATAGTTATAGGATAACAAAGAATGGTCAGTTACACATAGTTTTCACAAAGGCAATCATGAGAAAGCAGTGACATAAATCAATGTTAAAATAAAAGCAGTTATTCCAACATCTCTCCATTCATTTCCATTCTCTTTTTAGCATAAGTGAAAATACCTTAAAAATCTGTATTGTTAGTACATTAATTTGGTGATTTTTTTAGATCCTCAATATGTAAATAAAACCTCAAGTATGTTGTTAACATCATATTATTGTTATGGAACAAATGAATAATTCCATTGAAAATACTGAGAAAATATGTTATATCACTAATTGTGGTGAAGGCCATATCAATACATTATAGAGTTTAGAAATACTTTTGCTTTATATTTGTTGTAAATTTTAGATTCATAAAAATTTGAACACATATAACTAAAGGGTAATAGATATACATCATGATAATTTCATAAGGTCTAGCTCTCCAATTCTTCAGTTATCTTATGAAATGCTTCATGCTTCATTGTACATAGAAAGATGTTATTAGAAACTGAGAAAACATGTGGAGGCCTAAGAAAGTAAGAATTATTCTGTCATGAGAATGTGCATCAGTGTTTTCTTGAAATTGAACCAAAATTCTTTAGGAAAATTTCATGACACATCAGAAATATATCCTCTTTAATTATAACAAAGAGGTTTTTAATATAAATTTTAGAGAATTGTGTTTAAATTTAAGCATATGTAAAAGCAATTTTCCACACCACGAAGCACAAATCATAAATGTTTTATGTTAATAAGTCTTAGGACCAATTCAGTCACCCAAACTATTACTATGAGAAAAAAAAATGGAGGAGAAAGAAATGAATGAACACTACATGGAAAGAAGAATGGGGCAGTAAAGATAAAGGAAGTCAAAGTAAAAGAAGATTTCATAATAGCTAAAAGCAGTTTTAGAAATAGTTAAGATTTTTTACTATGTTTAAAAAATTTTACATACACTAGGAAATGCAAAAATCCACTATTTTAAAATGACATACACTGTAATTGTAACAATTGCATTTAGAATCTATTTCAGTGGCCAAGGTGATAGCTCAGTGGTCTAAATGCCTACCTGGCAAGTATGAGGACCCTAGTTAAATCCCGGCACTACATTCTGAGCTGCCCCAGGTGTGCCAAGGTGTGCCAAGGTGGCCACTGAAACAAGGCATGGTGGCGCACACCTGTAATCCCAAAGTTGGGGAGGCTCTTACAGGAGTATCACTATGAGTCTGGCCTGCTTAATGAGACCTTGTACCAAGTACATATGATTAAAAAAATAGGATATGTTTCAGGATATATTTGATTTTATTAATGACATTAATTGCATTTTAATTACTTGTATTCTTACATAATTCCACCGTTTTATACTTTTATCATCAATATGTTTATTCAACCCAAATTTGTAAGGTATTTATGTTGCATTTAACTTTAAATTTTTTAAAGGGTTACTTCATAGACAATATTTCAAGTATCTACCAAGGTAAAAAATAAATTTGTGGAGTTAAAGTGAAAGTGGAAAAAGTCAGCAAACAAAATAAATAATGAATTAAATGAATTTGCATTTTATTTACCAGAGTAGTGTCAAAAAATTTTAGCAGTTACCAAGTCATATTCTCCTCTCTTAAGTCAAAACAATACTTATTTTTATTTTTTAATTAATTTTATTGAGAAACAAATAGTAATGATACAGTTTCAAAACCGACTAATAGGACAGTTTCAATAATTAATACATTGCATATTATTGTCTTCTTAGTACAAGATGCAGACATGATATCTTGTCCAAACACTGTTAGTACAAATCTTTCTTCTTATTGAATTAAAAGAAAGTAGCTGTATATATTCTAACTATGTTGTATATACAGATACAAAATGGTCCTTCATTTGTAATTTTATTTTATTATTTATTTATTTTTATTTTATTTTATTTTTTTGCAGAACCAGGGATTAAACGCAGGTCCGTGCACTTGCCAGGCAAAAGCTTATTCTTTCTGAGCCATCTCCCTGGCCCACAATGTTTGAATATAATTTTGATAATAATAAATTAAGCTCCTGAGCTAGCAAAACTATATTATATAGTAATTGCTAACAATGAAATAATTAAAATATCTAGTTATAAAAGTTGATAATGTTCTCCAGAGCTATGAAGTCAGATCATTAAAATCTTTTACTTTTTTTTTTTTTTAGAAATGGCAGAATCATCGAAGAGAATGAAAAGTACACATTGAAAGGAAGCAACACAGAACTCACCATCAGGAATATCATCAACAGCGATGGTGGAGCTTACGTCTGCAGGGCAACCAGTAAGGCAGGAGAAGACGAGAAGCAGGCCTTCCTTCAGGTCTTCGGTAAGTGTCAGGGCACAGTGGTTAATGGCTCAAGTCCGCAGAAAGGCTTATTTCAATTTATGCTCTACTATTTTTAGTTCTTTTAAATTTACATAATGAAACCTCATCTTCCTCATTTATGAAATACATTTTTTTAGCTAGCAAATAAAATTATATTAAGATTAAATGAAATTGTACATGTGAATTTCCACACTTAGTTGTCTCCGAACTAAAGCTAAAAAAACATGCAGGCTACAGCTAATGGGAGCTGTCCTTTTTAATACCAATATAACATTTGATCCTTATAAGTTTTTAAAAGATGTAGTTTAGATCCAGTTTACATTCATCTATATAAGTATAATGCTATAGTTTAGAAACAGAAGTCTTTAACTTTTGTTTGTAATTTATTAAACTATAATTAGATATTTTACAAAAGATATGCAATTTGGGGAAACTTACAGCACATACAGAAGTTTTAATTTTTTTTAAAAAATAGTCACATTTTCCATTATGCTTGCAACAAGAATTTGCTGACTTGTACTAATATGATTTTTCTCTTTAAAAACTGTGACACATACAACTGCATACTTTGCTAATATTTAGTGTATTTTTTATTTGTTAAAAAAGATTGTCATTATATTAATCACTTTCCTACTTCTTGGATTGAAGAATTCCTGACAAACAGCTTGAAGAGGAAGAGGCTTATTTTGGCTTTGTTTCCATGGGTAGAAACCATTGTCAGTAGGCCCCACGAAGATCATAACATGATATGACAGAGGAGATTGGTGGAAGAAAATTTCTAATATCATGCAGGACAGGAAGCAGAGTGAAGAAAGAGA